AGCACAAAGTTATCGTATAAAAAAGTAAGTATGGTAAAAATAACCATAGTATTGACAAAAATCCCAAAACTAATACAAGTTTGCTTAAAATATCTATCCGCAAAGAAAATGAATAACAATATTCTTAAAAATTAAGCCTCAGACAGAAAAATTCCGTGCAAGCAGAAAAAGCATTATGCATAAGTATATCTATAGGAAAATTGAAAAAATATGTAATAAATAGTAGGAAAGACAGAAATTTAGAAAATCGAAAAAGATAGTGCCCACGTATATTACTTCATATAAAAAGCAATAAAATAATATTGATAATCCAAGTTAAAATAATTTGAAAGATACAACCGTTATATATTTTAAAATTTAGGCTTATTAGAGGAGCAAGGAGGCATACTCGGCGCGCTAGCGTTAATGTAATTTACTTAAGTTGTGCAAACAAAAATAATAATGGTTAATTTCAGATGTAAAAATTATTTTATTAATTTAGTTTTTTAAATAGAAAAACATTTTTAAATTTTGTTTTATTATTTTTTCTTTATTGGATTGTGCAAATATAGCCTCGAGCGCGCTAACCCCTCACTATCACTTTCATCAGCTCTGCTCTGCACGTTAAATGTCAATTAGCCAATTCAGTGTCAAGAGAAATATTAAGGCTGGCTCACTATCAAAAGTGGTATTCGCGGTGCGCGAACATGATAACCAGAGCTTTATATTAAAAATTGTTCCCAAGACCCTGCTGCATGATTCGAACTCCCTTCCATTTAGAATAGGAGAACGGAGTTTCCCATTTCCAAGTGAAGCACTTATCCTTGAAAAACTGAAACACCTTGATTGTTGCGTGAAGTTATTGCATGTCATCGACGACAATGATTCCAACGCTTGGGTTTTAGTTCTTGAGGATCTAACGCATGAAGGCTATGTGAACCTTGCCGAAGAACTGGGGCTAAGAAAATCATTTGATGAAGCTACGGTTTCTTGGATAATCTTAGGCTTGATAAAATGCATCAGTGACATTCATTCCTTGGGAATCCTGCACTGCGACATCAAGCCTGACAACATATTCATTAATCATGCTACAAAGTCAGTTAAAATTATCGACTTCAATGTTGCAATTGATCTTCGTAATTCTGATCCAAAAACTTTGAAGCTTCCTTACTGTACTCCGGATTACGCACCACCTGAGATTTTAATCCATCGAAATCCCTGGTCTACTTCCAGTGAGGTTTGGTCAGTTGGATGTACTGCATTTGTTCTTCTATGTGGAAAATTTCCTTTCAGCAATCCTTGGGACTCTTTACATGTGAATCCTTCTTATCCACTTTCTACCTCTCAGGACTGTGATTCTGTTATCTCTTACGCTCCTAACCAGAGTGGCCATGGTGACGTCGTTATTTCTAACAAAGCACTTGACTTTTTACACATCACATTGTGTCGAAGCGTCCAACACAGACCGTGTCTCGATAAATTAGCCCAACATGCATTTCTGAAGTTGGGTGCTTCAAAATCGAAGTCAAATTCGCGGTCGTTATTCCTTCCTTATTCATCTAGCGCCATTAATTTTGTCAAGGCCTAATTTCTTTGGTATCCTTCACATTTTACCCAGTGACTTATCGATTTTGCATTTCTCGCTGCTAACTAAATTTTATCATGTGAACGACACCATTATGAAACCTGCACTAAAAGATTTCAGCTATTTTTTCAAAGTTATTTTAAAATTTGTCTATCTTAGCTCTATTTACAGTATACAGACGCCTTTTTTTATTGATATTTCTCTAGATCGAAGGGAGATGTTGCGAAGGAAAAGGTCATATCTTACTGTAGGAAATGGTTATCACAGATATCTTCTCTTATCAAGGGTTCTCCATCTAAATAAATATACTACTGCGGCTACTCGTATAGTAACGATTTGGCATGAAGTCCATCTAATAGTTGATGGCATTTTTATTTTTGCCATTAATCTCACCGCTTGACGTAATGATAATGTATAGCGTCTCCTCTGGTACCATTATTTGGTCTCATCTTTTTCCAACCGCCTTTAGATTACTCTCTTATTAAGTAGAGATATAGAAATGTGTTCGTAAGCACTTATTGTACAAAATTTATTTAATTCAAACTTGTCATATCTGTAATGGGCTACTATAGAGAAGTATCCTTTTGTAACCTAGATTTTCCTTACCGATTTTATCAGACATGGAATATTCGTAGGCAAATTTACGAAAAAAGTCAGGATTGCTTTATCTCCATTTAGGTCTGTTCGAGATTTAGGCCAACCTCTTTACTTACATATTTGTAGTTCGAGAGCGGTGAGCATGTGCTTATTGCATCATCCAACTATTCGGAAGTCCATTCTCCAGCTAGTATGGGCCACTTCTCCGACTCTAGGTGGTCGTCTGCTTAGGCAAAGGCTCCTATCTTCCAGGTCTATAGCTTGTTAATTGTACCTCGTCGTGTGTGCTCCCGCACGCTTTTTGTCGTCAAATTAGTCTTAAACTAGTTGCACATATGTAATTATTGAATATTGTGTGATTTATTAATTATATGCCCTGTAATATCTTGGACTAATATCTAGCGCCTTTTGGCTCTCAATCGTATTAGTTAATCGCGGGGCAGGGGCCCTTTTCAGCGAACTAGTTCTTCCCGTCCCTTTGATTCTGTCCTATTTTTCATATTTTAATTTTATAACGCGATGCTACTTTTTGATCCCATTATCTCATAGGCAATGTCCGCGTATTTTTTATTTGTTCCTTCTCAATGATGTTTAGATCAATTATAGCAGATTTAGTCTAAGG